GGAGTGGACAAAGGGGGTAAAAACGCTCATCGCTGGACCCGTGAATTGAAACCTTGGGTGGCGACCGCCGCGTTGTCGGCCGATGGGCTTGTTTTGTCGGGCCCCGCGTCCCTTCTGCAGTCGGAGGGGGAATCGTTCGGGGCCCTCTGGGGCTCCAAGCCGTATCCGCATTTGGAGGGTTCTGGACTCTTGGATTTCATGGGGCCGCTGGAGCCGCCTTCGGCGGGGGATTTGGTTGCTGCGAGGAAGGCTCATGCTGTAGGCGCGGCCGCCAGTGTTGATCACATGCAGCACTGCGCCGTTTCTGCATGCCGACCTTTTGGATGCCGTCAGCACTTTATTTACGATGATGGAAACCACGAGCCTCCTACCACACCCTGCTCAGGTGCAGATGACCGCGCTGCTGCAGAAACCAGCGGGCGGATGCCGCCCGATTGGGCTTGTCTCGCCCCTCTACAGGCTGCGGGCGCGCGCCCGACGGCCTTGCGCAGAGCGCTGGGAAACCGAGCATCAGAGATTGTACCTTGCATCTGGTTCGTTCGACTCTGCCTCAGATGTCGTGCATCGCCAGGGGGTCAAGAGCGAGCGTGTCGTCGGTCGCGGGCATAGCAGTTGTAAGGTCCTTTGGGACTTATATAAGTTTTACGAGACGATTCCGCTTCCCAAGTTGCCCGACCGGTGCCAGGCCTTGGATTTTCCGATGCAGATTGCCAGGATATCGGTTAGGGCTTATCGAGGAGCTCGCTTTGCATCACTAGGGGGCCTCCTGCACGGGCCCCATTTCGTCGCGCACGGGGTTGCGGCTGGATGCAGTATGGCTACATCCTTTGTTCGTGAATACGTTATACCAACTGTGGACCCCGTCAGGTCCCCCCAGCAGGCCCCCTTGGACATCTGCAATGATGACTGCGGGCTTTCGAGCTCTGGGATTTCTATATCGGTGGTTTCCTCGCTTAAGAAGGCCTCGGTGGACCTCTTGGTGGTTATGGAGACTGACATGGGGGCCATGGCTTCTACCGACAAGGCTGCCGTTGTGTCGTATCACGCGGATGTTGGTCAGGCCATCAACATTTTCCTCGGTCAGCACGGCGGCCCGTCCGCTGACGCGAGGACCTCGGTCAATCTCGGAGTTGACGACGGTGCTGGGCAGGCTCGTCGTATAGGGGGCCGCGGTAAGAAGGCCAAGAGTAGAATGCAACCCTTTCGGATTTGGCGTACGCGCGCTCGCAAAGCTCGTCAAGCTCTTGGCCGTCATGCCCGCAATATGTTTGTTTCAGGACCGCTGGCATCGATGACCTACTGCTCCGAAGGATATGGTGTGTCTGATTATGAATTGGGTCTGGTCCGAGCTGGATTCGGAAAATGCGTCAGACCGCCGGCGGGATCCAGGTCGCTTACGTCGCTCTGCATTCTGGAGGGGGACCTTGTTTATCACGCTGCCACCTCGCCAATTGCCAGATGCTCCAGGGATTTGTGGGGCGCCCGGGTTCAGCAGATTCCATTCGCTTTAGGTTTCGCCGCTCTCAGAGACGCCTGGCAGCAGACCTGGTCCAGACCGCCGTCTACATGGCGGCAAGTACGGGGACCGATCGCCGCCATGTATATGTCTCTCAGCCGCGTATGTTGGACCATGTCCAACTACGCGCAGTTGGTGAGCGATTTAGGGGTGTCCTACTCCCTCGCTACCTCGCCCCCCAAACTGATCACCAATATGTTGCGTGAGGGCGCGGTCCGACAGCTGTGCCGTCTGTCGGGCGAGAAGCTCGGGATCGGTGCCAGGCTGCGCTATGATTCTGTGATCCGCGACCTCTGCAGTTCCAATTTTACGCAGTTTTTGTTTGCCAAGGGCTCGATAAGGGCCAATGTGCGCGGGGCCTGCTGGACCAAAGAGAGAGCTGTCCAGTGTGGTTACCAACTCCAGGACGCGTGCTGTGCTCTGTGCCAGGGGCCATCGGACTCGGTGTTTCATCGGCTTTGGGTTTGTCCTGATCCAGAGGTCGCGGAGCTCAGACAGGAAATTGTGGACGGGGCTGTTTTGCTGGCCGCTCAGGAGCTCGACCCTGCTTCGTGCTCCATGGAGGATTGGTTCCTCTTCGCCGAGGGCCTCTTCCCCCACCCAGGCGATGACCACCCTCGCCCTGTTCTGGAGGTCGCCCCCCACGGTTGTCTGGGGGGGCGACCCTGGGCACCCCGACGAGCAGCTGTTGTCTGGAGGTTCGGCATTCATGGACGGGTCTTGTGGGAAGCATGTAGTTAAGGAATTACGCAGGGCAGGTTGGGGCTTAGCGGCTTATGACTCCCAGCAGGTTTGAAGCTCCGTATGTGGTCCCGCCCTTTGGGATCGTTCCCCCCAGGCCCCACGGGCGGCGGAATTCGGGGCTCCAGCCTACGCGTGTCTCTGCCTCGCGGGTCCCGTTGTAGGGTTCCCGGGTTTGCAGGGCCTTCAAGTTCGACCGTTCTCAGAAGCTGTCGTGCAAAAAGGCCTTACGCGGGCCTCATGATCAATGCACTGAGGTCCCGTTTTTCGGAAGCGTTGAAGGTTGATGCCCACGCGGCCGACTCGGAGGGTGTTTCCCTCGAAGAGCGTTTTTGTAAAATTGGTAATGACCAGGCTGATCGCTCAGCCAAGCTTGCGGCCGCGGCGCACCCCAAGCCTTCGCCTTCGCAAATTGACAAGTTGCAGTGGCAGCTGAAGATCTCCCGAATGGTCTCGCGTCTGGCCGCCAAGGTGCTCGTTTCCTGGCCCCGCCTGGACCTGTCTGGTGCACCCTTCATTTCACCTCCCCCCCCCGTCCAGGGGCCGAGGCGCCCGAGGGGGTGCACATATGGGCGTGGGTCAAAACGCATTGGAGGTGCAATCGGTGTCTCAGACTTCGACGGCAGGCATCGCGCCCCGCTGAAGAGGACTGCGCTGGTGACTTGCCCCCAGTTGCGCGTTCTGTTGTAGATCAGGACCACTCCTGCCTAGCCTTGGAGTGCGCGAGCGATCAGATTTTGATCATATGCGCCCGCTGCGAAGCGTTTTTCGACTCTCGGACAAGTTAAGCAGCTCCGCGCTGAGTGCACACGTCCACTCGCCAAAGCGGCGGAGTATTGGTCCAGGGCCAAGCGGGGCTGGCATCCGAAGGAGAAGCTTCGGGTGGAAGCGGCCCCCATCAGAGAGTGAGGAGCTGGTGGGGCAGGGCGTTCGTCAAACACTCCTCCTCCTCCTCGTCCTCCTCCTCCTCGCCCTCCTCTTCTTCCTCCTCCTCCTCCTCCTCCTCCGCCTCCTCCTCCTCCTCCTCATCCCCCTCCTCCCCCCCTCCCCCGCCTTCTTGTCATTGTTCTCCTCCTTCTCCTCCTCCTCCTCCTCCTCCTCCTCCTCCTCCTCCGCCCCCCCCTCATCACCATCATCCTCCTTTCCTTCCTCCTCCCCCTCCTCCTCCTCCTCTTCGTCCTGCGCCTTCTCTTCCTCCTCCTCCTTCTCCTCCACAGTTGCACCGTTCGAATATTGCTCCCCTCTCGCCCCTGATGATGTCCAGAAAATATTCGGCCCCATCCGCATATTGTTTTTTCACACAGGATTCCCGGGACTTGGGTTATCGCTTGTGTTTTGTTATCAAACGGTTGTTCCCGCTGAAGCGCTGACCTCATTTTCGGGCATCCGCTCGTTCCGAATCTTGCTCCCGCTGCAGCGTTGGCCTCATGTCCGCGCTTCCACTTGTTCCGAATCGTGCTCCCGCTGCAGCACTGACCTCATTTCCGCGCTTCTTCTCGTTTCGAATCGTGCTCCCGCTGCAGCGCTGGCGTCAGTATTTCCAGTGCCATGCCACGGCATGCAATGCAATGCTATGTGGTGTTCCGCTGTGCGATGCCATGCCTTCAGCTGCAACGCTAGGATATGCATTGCTCGACTACGCAGTGCCACGACATGCTATGAAATGCTACGCATGGATCTTCAACGCCATGCTATGCATGGCATGTTCTGTTATGTGCCGCCGTGCGATGCCATTATTTGCGCTGCAATGTTTTGCACTGCAATTCTTCACTACGCAACGCCACGCCATGCTATGGCACACTACGCTCTGCCGTGCTCTTCTACGCCCTGCTATGCAGTGCTCTACGATGCATCGCGCACCCTCCTCCTCCTCCTCCTCCTCCTCCTCCTCCTCCTCCTCCTCCTCCTCCTCCCTCTCCTCCTCCTCCTCCTCCTCCTCCTCCCCCTCCCCCTGCTCCTCCTCCTTCTCCTCTTTCTCCTCCCCCTCCTCCTCCTGCTCCTCCCCGGGATCCTGTCCGCGGGGTAGAGTCAGACCGAGGTATCAGATCGCTTGGGAAGGGTACCCTAGTGTTTTTCGCGTTTGTTGTTTGGTCGACGGAGGGCCTCATGGTGTTGAAGGCTGTTCTTCTGGCCTGAATCCGACGGCAAACGGCTTGGCGGGCTGAGGGGAAGGCTCGAGGGCAAGCAGCACAGCAGCGGGAGCACGAGCGGCTGGAGCCGGCTCAAAATCAAAAGAGGCATCATAGCCTCGTCAATCTAGATTGATCCACTCACGGATCCACTGCAATTTACTTCCATTGATTTCATTCCATGCGTAGCATCTCTCCCCCCCCCCAAAAAAAATGCATACTTCAGGTCCCCGGAGACCAGGGCACAGATAAGCCAGGACACGGATAACCAAGGGAACGACACCCTTTCTTGCAAGGTCACGTTTTCCAGCACCCGTGCATCTTTTGCTTGCTGCGCTGGAGGAATCGGGTTTGTGTCCAGGTTTGGGGGGACCTTGCAGGCTTTCAGGGCCTGTGTCCGGGCTTACTCCGGAAATGCTGCAGTGCAGTATTTTGTGCGTGCCGCCTTCTGGAAGAATTGGTCTCGAGGGATGTTGGGTGTCCGGGTATATTGTGTCCGGGTCTGCGGGGCTTTGAATACTCAAGATGGGGCCCTGAGGACGACAACGGCAAGCAGTGCTCGCGATCCACCTCCTACTCTTGGGGCCTCCTCCCTCGGGGTCCCACCTTTTGAGCCGCCGGCCCATGCTCCCCTACGTCAAGCTCAGGGACCCGCACAAGCGATCTCTGTTCAACAAGATCAGCATTTTCTGGGCCACGACTCTCTGTTCGATGTTTTTTAACGTCGAGGTGGTCAATCCGGAGAACCTCCCTGCCAAGGATGACCCCCGTCAGTACATGTACGTGGCCAATCACCAGTCTTTCATGGACATCCTTTCGGTCTTCTCCCTGCGCCGGCCGTTCAAGTTTATTTCCAAGTCTGAGATACTGTGGATCCCGGTGGTCGGATTCGCGATGAAGCGCCTGGGGCACATCACCGTGACGCGGAAGAGCCAGCGATCCCAGGTCCACATGATCAGGACGTGTCTCTTCCAGTTGCACAAGGGCTGCTCCGTGTTCTTCTTCCCGGAGGGGACCAGGACAAAGACCGGCCGGTTGCGCAATTTCAAGAAGGGCGCGTTCTCCATCGCCAAGAAGGCGAAGGTGGGGGTCGTGCCGATCACGGTGCTGGGCACCGGAGACATCATGCCGGCTGGGCGCGAGCTACGGTTGTTCCCCAGCCGGCTGGGCGTGAAGCTGATCGTCCATCCTCGGGGAACGAACCATGACGCAGACATGTTTTGTCGGAGGTCCGCGCGGACTTCTCGGACATGCGCCGGCCCCCCCTCCCTGGGGCGCGCCAGAGGCGGCGCTGGAGGCGCCGCCAGGGGGCTCCGGCGCCGATCCGAGGAACCCGTGCGGACCTCCGAAAGTTCATGCTCATGCGATTCTCGTTTTGGGTTCCCCGGCGTCCCACTTTCACCGAGGAGGAGGTCCAGGATCGGGGGCGGATAAGGGTGGGGTGATGACTAGGGGGGGGCGGATATCATGGCGGGGGCCATGATATTTCCCCAGATTTCATGGCGCCTCTTCTTATTTCGTTACGTCCCTGGCCTCCCCGCTGGGCCGCGCACATGCCGCTGGTCATGATTTGCGCCCCCCCCTCTTTGACGCCCCCCTCTTTGCCGCTCCCGACAGAAGATGACCGAGGCCGACCTGCGCAGGAAGGCCACGGACGTCGTCCGCTCGGGGCTGCCCGTCGCGCTCCAGGGCGGCGACTAGGGCCGCGGGCGGGGGCGTTGCGGGCCGCAGCTCGCTGCGGGCAGTGGCGGGGGAGCTGGGGCTCAGCAGCCCAGAGGTTGGCACCAGCCCAGCATCGGCGGTGTGCCTCCAGCGAGGGAAGGGGATCCCGATCTCGGTGGTGGTGGTGATCTTCGGGTTTCCCAGGCGGCCGAAGGATCACCACCAACACCAAGATCTGGGATCATAAGGAGGGGAAAAAATATAGACACAATGAAGCGTCGATCCCACAGAAAATATGGGAAAATAGGGGAAGTGGGGGGGGAGACAAAAACCCGGAAAATATGGGAAAATATCGGGAGTCCTGCTATTTGTGTGTATCTATTTGTGCGTCCTAGGGCCCCATTCAGATCACCTTCCCCTGGTGGAGGCAACCCTCGGTCTGGTGCTGATGCTAACTTCTCGGCCTCCAACTGCCGTGCCCGCCCGCCTCGTGTCCTGCGTTTCGCGCGGTCCTTCGCAGGCCTAGAGGTTGACACCAACACCGATTTCGGCGGTGTGCCTCCACCGAGGGAAGAGAGGATCCCGATCTCGGTGATGGTGGTAATATTATGGTTTCCAAGGCGACCGAAATATTACCACCGACACCGAAATCCAGGATCCTCTTCCCCCTGTGGAGGCAACCCCCCTGTGTTGGTGTTGGTGCTCATTTCCAGGCCTCCAAGTCCTCTGGCAGCGTGGCCCTCGGGGGGGCCCGGTGTCCTCTCGGGTGTCCTCGCCAGCCGTGGCATGAGCTGGCGGATGCGTCTGAGCCGTAGCATTAAGTCGGGCATGTCCCTCTACAGGAGGAACATCCAAAAATAGTCCAGAAATAGTCGGGTGATGTTTCTTTTGATCATTTTTTTTGAATTATTTATTTTTTGCCCAAAATCCTCCTGTAGGGGGACATGTCCGACCTAACCGTAGCGCGTAGCAGTCTTTCCATGCAAGCGGGCGCCTCAGGCGCCGTTCTTGGTCTTGGCAGCGGCCTCCCCATCCTTGGAGTCCGAGCGTTTCGGCCTCGTCTTCGTAATTGCAGGTGCACGCGCTCCATCCGCGTTGTTCGGGCGCCCCGCGGCAAGCTAAGAAACAATGCATGGGGTCCGAAGTTGAAAACAGTGTCGAGTGCGCTGCCTGGCCAATGATAAAATAGCGCGGGCGAAGAGCATCAGGAGCAGGAGCTAACATCATCGGCCTCGCTGAGCGACGGCGGCGGCTGTACTGCTTCCCTGACCTTCCAGAGCAGCTGACGAATGTACTGCTCCAAAGATGAGTAGTAGGATTGCGATCTATTCCAGTATTTTGTATAAGAACGGTTCTTTCTGGAAAGTCAGGGGTTTCTGTCTGTAATCGGCGGCGCGCCAAGGGGGTAGTGAGAGGGGGCAGGCCTTGTCACAAGGCGTCGGGGCTTCTCGGAAGCGCTCTGGCCTTCTGAGGAGTCCTCTGCGACTTCGGCGTGAATGCTTGAGGCCTTGTGAGAGTGCCCCCGCCCCCTGTCTTCTCCCCTGGGCGCGCCGCCAACCTGGAAGGTCGAGGTTGCTTTCAGTTCGGCCTGTCCCTCTACAGGGGGAATATTCAAAAATAGTCAAAAACTAGTATGTGGACTTTTTTTTGTATGTTTGGGCATCTTTTGAATATCTGTTGAGCATGTTTTATTTGTCGTCCAGTATCCCCCTGTAGGGGGACAGGCCCGACCTAAAGGTTGCTCCCTGGCACGTCGAGGGAACCCCCTTGCCTCCTCGGAGAAGAGGGGGCGCCCCCGGCACACCGCGACATCGGCGGCGGTGGTGCTTGCATCTGAGCAGACCGGCTGATCTCGTGGGGTGCACTCCTGTTTCAGCATCCTCCCCCCCTCCTTCTTTTTGACCTCCTCCTCCTCCTCCTCCTCCTCCTCCCAGTCCTCCTCCTCCTCCTTCTCCTCCTCATCCTCCTGCTCCTCCTCCGCCTCCTCCTCCCCCTCCTTCTCCAGCTCCTCCTCCTCCTCCTCCTCCTCCTCCTCCTCCTCCTCCTCCCCTCCTCCTCCTCCTCTCCTCCTCCTCCTCCTCCTCCCCTCCTCCTCCTCCTCCTCCTTCACCTTCTCCTCCTCCTCCTCCTCCTCCTCCACCTCCTGCTCCTCCTCCTCCTCCTCCTCCTCTTCCTCCTCCTGCTCATCCACCACCAGGGGCACGAGCCAGGAGGGACGGTCCTGGTAGGGAGCAGGGGTGAGTCGGGGCGATCGAGATGGGCAGCATTTCCTTCGCATGTTGGACAGGACTCGCTGCAGGTGTCGCCGCGAGCGTTGCCATGTGAGGCAGGAATTTGAAACAGACGGCCGCCTGCCCAACAGCGGCCGCTGTCGGTTTTGGACAACGTTTGTGGTTGGGCATCGTGCCACTTCGGGCGTCCAAGGAGGAGGCCCCGCAGCACCATGTCTACCGTCCCCCGCGCGGTAGTCATCTCACCTCCTCGCCCTTGGTTCTCCGAACGCCTCCATAGTCAATCGTTCTGGGGTGACCAATGGTCGGGGAGGTGTCTAGGAGTCTGGGGGGGGGGTCATGTAGTCTGGGGGCGGGTCCTGTAGTTGGCGGGGGGGCGGGGGGGGGGCCTCGTAGTCCGGGGGGGGCGGTCCTTCTAGTCCAGGGGGAGGCTCGCTCAGTCGGGGGGGAGGCCCTTGTAGTCCGGGGGGGGTCCTTCTAATCCCGGGTGCGCTGGACGCGGAGGGGGGGGGGTGGAAGCGTCGGCCTCGGGCATGGGCAACCGCGCGAATGCAACGCCATGGGCGCGGAACCTCGCCGGAGCGCGGCATTCCAGTTGCGTGGAAGGGTGCCTGTAATCTGGGGGGGGGGGAGGGTCCCTGCAGTCCAGGGAGAGGGGTGCCTTTAGAGAGGAGGACGAGGGGGGCCCCTTGCAGTCCGAGAGGGGTCCCAGTAGTCTGGGGGGGGGGGCTCGTAGTCCTCCCTCCTCCCTCCTCCCTCCTCCCTCCTCCCTCCTCCCTCCTCCCTCCTCCCTCCTCCTCCTCCTCCTCCTCCTCCTCCTCCTCCTCCTCCTGGGGCCCAGAGCTGAGAAGGTGCCCGGGGTCGCGCGCCGAGCCCTGGTGCCAGGCGCACGGGGCGAGCGCCAGGCGCACGGGCGAGCCGGATGCGGATTGGAAGGCTCTCGTGGCCGCGCGGGCGACCACGGAGGATCCTCGGACCAGGAGGAGGAGGAGGAGGAGGAGGAGGAGGAGGAGGAGGAGGAGGAGGAGGAGGGAGGAGGAGGAAGGAGGAGGAGCTTGAGCTGGAGCTGGAGGAGGAGGGGGAGGAGGAGGAGGATGAGGAGGAGGAGGAGGAGGACCAGCGAGGCACCTCCTCGGCGGTCCGCGGGGCAGGCGCGCGCGCGCGGCCCCGAGGTCACCGAGGCCCGGCCCGAGTTTCCCGCCGAGGCGCCGCGCGCCCCCGTGGGTGGGGGGGGGGGCGGAGCACCGCGGGCAGAGGGGGGGGGGGACGCTCCGTCGGTCGGTGTGTGCGGGCGGGTAGAGGAGGAGCAGGAGGAGGAGGAGAGAGAGGAGGAGGAGTAAGGGAAGGGGGGATGAGGAGGAGACGGAGGCAGGAGGAAGGATGAGCGAGGACGGAGGAGGCGAATAGGGGAAAGGGGGGATGATGATGATGATGTGATGATGATGATGATGATGATGATGATGCAATGATGATGATGATGATTGATGCATGATGATGGCTGATGATGATGCTGATATGATGATGAATGATGAGGATGATGATGATGATGATGGAAGATGATGATGTGAGGATGATGATGATGAGGATGATGATGATGATGATGATGATGATGGTGGTGATGGTGATGGTGATGTGGTGATGGTGATGTGATGCGATGCTTGATGAGATGATGATGTGTGGTGTGGTATGGTGATGGTGATGGTGATTGGTGATCGGTGATGGTGATGATGATGCTGATGATGATGTGATGATGATGATGATGATGAGGAGGAGGGGATGAGAGGAGATGGAGTGAGGAGAAGAGCGGGAAAAGGAAGGGGGGATGAGTGGGAAGAGAGGAGGAGGAGGAGCAGGAGGAGGAGGAGGAGAGGAGGAGGAGAGGGAAGCGTGGGGGAGGAGGCGAGGAGAAGTAGGAGGAGGAAGGAGGAAGGAAGGGAAGGGGGGAGGGATTAGCAGGATGATGATGATGATTAGGATATGTGATCATGATGATGATTGATGATATGATGATGATGATGATGATGATGATGATGATGATGATGATGGATGATGATGCTGAGGATGGTGATGGTGATATGTGATGGTGATGGTGGTGATGGTTGGATGGTGATGGTGATGGTAGATGATGATTGATGATGAATGCTTGGTGCGTGGTACGTGATGCAATGTATGATGTGAATATGATGATGATGATGATGATGAGAAGGAGGAGGGAGGGAGGCAGCTAGGGGGAAGGAGGAGGATTATGAGGAGGATAGGTCTAGGTAGAGAGGATGAGAGGAGGAGGAGGAGGAGGAGAAGGAGGGGGAAAGGAAGGGGGGATGAGTAGGAAGAGGAGGAGGAGGAGGAGGAGGAGGAGGAGGAGGAGGAGGAGGAGGAGGAGGAGGGAGAAGCGAAGTGGGGAGGAGTCGGCGAGTTCGGCTCCCGCCCCGGATCCTGACCCGCGGGGGTCCCCAGATGTCCCTGGAGGCCCGGGGAGGGCCGAAAACGTCCACTGAACGTCCGGAAACGTCCGGAGTCCCTCCTCGATCCTCGAGGGGCCTGGCATCGCTCGGACGTGTGCATTTTTTCTCGGCGAGGGCGATCGAGGAGCATCCTTGATCATTTGGCGAAAAACCACGCGCGACACCGAAGAAAGCGCAGGGAATGGACGTCCAAGCGATGGCCAGGTGGGGCCGAGGGCAGAGCTCAGGGAGGGAAGGGGGGAAGGGGGGGGGGGGGGCAGGAGCAGGGGGACTCCGCGCCCTCGCTCGAAAATTCCTCGGGAAGAGCGCGGTGGCCGCGCAGGTCGGACTGGGCACGCGCGGCGCCCCGCGCGGCGCCGCGCCACGCCTGCGTGCAGAAGGGAGGTGAGGCAGCGACTGGGCGGGGAGGTGAGCATCGGCGTAGGTCATGCAGGCATCGGTATACACGGGGCGACCACAGCTTTCATAGCTGAGTGCATTGCCTTGGAGTCGGCGTTGGACGCGCTTTTGTCGATGCAGTTTCACATTTCTAGCATCTCTCCGGACCGACTGAGGTGAACTTGAGGCGCGCTATGGCGCCAAGCCTTGCGGAAGAAGAAGGGGCATCGGCGCCGAGCCTGGGGGGGGAAGCGAGAAGGGTCGGGCTTTTCTCGGAAGGCTCGGCAGGCCCCCGCCTTTCGCAGAAGTGCCCTGGGCCTTCCCCGAAGGCACGGGCAGCTTCTCGGGAGGCGCGAGGGCTTCTGAGAAGTCCCGCCGCCTGCTCAGAAGGCTTTCTTCTTCTCACTTCCCCCCCTCAGTCGCCGCCGAGGAGCAGGGGGCGGAGGTCAGGACAAAGGAGGAGGAGGAGGAGGAGGAGGAGGAGGAGGAGGAGGAGGGGGGTCAGGCTAAACCCGAGATGCGTCAATTATGCTGCGATGCGCCCTCTGGTCACAAGCTCCCTGCTCACATGCCCTTTTCACCCTGCCAGCCCCTCTTTTCCATTGCTAGCATCGCCCCCTTGAGAGACCAAGATCAGATGGGCATCCCGTTCAGGCGAGAGCCCCGTTTTGAAAAGGAACTACGCGCTTCGCATTCTCCGCCGAGTGAGAAGGTGCGGACTAAAGTCTGATCATACAGCTCTAAAGTGTCCAGCGAGATCCTCTTTTTGAAACTGCACCGTCCCATCGATTCAATTATTGCACAGGGTTCCACTTCTTGCTATGAGCGTTGAGGAAGCCTCGAGCGAGCACACAATGTTAAACATGAGTCGCTCTTCAACCGTGCAGCCGTCGCGGCTTTGCAATCTTCTGGCCTTTCATACTACATAGGTTTCAGCCGAATGCCCAATAATAGACGATGACGGACAATCCTTCATCCGCGCGTCTGCTGCATATGTCAGGGTTTATGGTTTTCTTGTCTAGAGAAGTTCCATTCGAACGCACACGTTGAAAAAGGAACCGTCCACAATCCTTCTAACTGCTGCAGGCTTGAAAGAATGCGCGACGCGAAGG